TCAGGGAAGCTCTTCACCCCCTAAGGATCGGCTCTCTCAGCTCTCCTGCCTTATAAGACACTCGTCTTGAGAGCAATTCCTTGCCCATCCGGATAAATGTCGGCCAAGGAAGAGCTTCCCTCGACTGGGACAGCCCTGCTCCCCCCACGCTCCCGGCAAGCCACAGAAAGCGTCTGCGAGTCATTCAGATTGGGTTGCTTTAAGGCACTCCTTCCTTCCCAGTTTAGGTGGCTGGAAATCTCCTACCCAATTCCCAACCCACCCAAATCTCAGCTAGGAAATCAGGCCACACCAGCCTCTAAGACAGAAGGAGATTCATTCAGCTTTATCTGAAAGCCATTTCAAGTATGTCCAGATTCCTAATGAAACTTGGATAAAACCCCAGAGATTAATAACAGTGCAGGGCTTTTTTGGATAATGGGTTTTTTCTGTTTCCAAGGGAAACATATATCTGTGCTTTGGTGGAATCTCTCCGTACATTTTTTTGGCAGAAAAGCCAAAATAAATCCCTTTACTGCAATAACCCTCGAGCAAGATAAGGCAAGAATCTGCTTGTAATTCCTGTGTATTGTTGTCATATGCAGATAAACGGGCATCTCTGGCCGTGCTATCTCCTCAGGGAGGGCAGGGACTAACTTTGTTCCAGGATCCCATCTCTGCTGTCCACATTGGCACAGGTCCAAGCCTGGTCCTCTCCCATGTTACTTTTACACAAGCGCATGTGCACGTGTTGTTCCTGCATGAAACTTGAGCTTTTCTGGTACTTCAGAGTCACATCAATCTGGAGAATGTAGCTGGAGCCAGCGTGGGGCTGAGTCCCACCTGAGCAGAGGCAGAAAGCTCCACAGCCCACATGGGAAGCCCAGGAGGTGACAGGTTTTGGTACCAGGAGCACAAGCTTTCTGTCCTGCCCACTTCCTTGTCTGGCAGGAGCCGGCAGAGTGGTCAGGCAATGGTTTGAGGGTGCTTCACTGAATGCCCACTCTGAGAAGGACCTCCTTGTGCTGGGAGGAGTGGGGCAACACCCACTGCTCTGCTTGAGTGGGCTCCCACACCTCAAACTTGTACCACTTCACAGAAAAATCCCCCATCATGAGAGGGAAAGCCACCTTGAAATGGACCCAGAGGGAGAGATGTCACTGCAGGCACCAGCAGGCATCTGCCTGCACTGGGCGAACCTCCTCCCCTGATGCAGCTGCCTGTCCCGGGCAGGGCCAGGGCGTTCGGTCTGCAGCTGCCTGGTGCTTTTGGAGGACAAGGATGCTGTAAGCAGGACCATCATCCCAGCCTTGTCTGCTCACGCTGCGAGCATCAGGAAGGGCTGGCACCACAGCAGCATGAGTCAAGGCTCGTGTTGGATACTCACTCGAGTATTCCCTGCCTTCAGACTGCGCCCCACCAAACAAGGGTAGACCCTTGTAGGGTCTCATGTCCTTTGCAGGGTCGATCCTCAACCCACAGCCTCTTGGACAAGGGGTGCAGGTCACAGCGAAGCTCTTCTCTTCACAACCCTCCTCCTTCTGAGGCAAAACACCTAACGAACGGGCCCTCCGGGACTGCCCAGAGCACTAACGCATCTGGCATCTGTCCACTCCCCTCGCTTAACCACTGTGGCTTTTTCCATCTTCATAAGCAGGGAAAGCAATCACCATAACGAATGTCTCTAAAGCTCTCACCACAGCACTCAGGATGTGCTAAACGAAATAAACACACATCAAGAGCCCATTAATGGTGCTCTCCTCATGCCCAGCAGCCACGGTCAGGCACGAGGGGGACCAGGAAGGGACGCTAATGTACAAAGCAGAATCTCCCGGAAAGAGAGGGATGAATTTTTACCTATTTTTTCCTCTTTTTTTTTCCCATTTTCAGATTGCTGCATCTCCACCATCAGCACGTGGCTGTGCCCATGCCAGGACAGTGCCAGCAGAGGAGGGCAGTGGGACATGCTGCCACACAGTGATGCTCCTCGCGGTGTACCCTCTCCTGGGTGACCCCTTCTGCACAGCCACCCTGCCCCGCCAAGCTTTCCTCTCCTTCCCAGCCTCCCAGACACAACACAGAGCGGGATTTCAGGGAAAAACAAATGGCTGCAGGTGGTGGTTACGGCCTGGGACTGTGGGGCAGAGACCCCAGGGCTGGGGGGAAGATGCTCCTGGTTTGCATGGGAGCACAAGCAGGAGCCTCCCAGTGTTAAGTTATAGGACACAACTATGCTAGAGGGGCAGCTCACTGCTGAAGAACAAGGGGTTGTTCCTCCTCTCTCAGGCTCGTATTGGGCCACTTAGCCAGGAGCAAGAGTTTTGCTCTGGTCAGAATTGAGCTGAGAAAGCTCAGGATGCTGGAAAGGCAGAAGCCGTGGTGCAGGGCTGTAGCATGACCCCAGAACTAGCACTCCCCGTCTCTCCCCGCTCCCTCCTTCCCCTCCTTTTTCTGCCGCACTGTTTTTGACTGAAGTTAAAGCAGCAAAGGATGTCCAACGGGAGAAAAATAATACCCCAGACCTCTGGCTTCATGAATGCAAACACAGCCCCCTTCCCCTCTCCTCCCAGGTAGAGCTGCTGAAATCTGGATAAACACAGTGGAGCTGTTGTGGCTGTTGGTGTTGGCCATGCTGCACCGTGAGGCTGCCAGGCCTTTTAACGGGGATATGCTTACAAACGAGAGAGCAAGAGCCTGGGGGAAAGCAGGGCTGGGATGGGGGTTGATTAATAATAACAGCCCTTCTGCTTGCTGCATTGATGTATATTAGATCTACTACCAAAAAAAAGAGAAATTAAATGGCTCAATGCTACTAGTTCTTCAGTGCCAGTGCTGAATAACTGCCACGCCAGTAGACACACAGGCAGTTAGACATAGCCAGCGATACACTTCCAATCTAGACTGTTAAAATTAAGCATATTGCAACCAAATTTTAATGTCACGTCTTCTGCTCGTTGGAGTTCTCAAATCTGTTCTTTCAGCTACCAAAATTAAAAGACTGCTTTATATTCTGCAGACTTAAGGGTGACTTTTTTCCCCACAATTAATTAGTTTAAAACTAACAGGGCTGGGTTGCTATGAGTTTCAGTGATAGAGCTGGGATATGTGTATATATATTTTTTAATTTTTTTTTTCACTTCTGAGCTGCTCCTTCTCATCTGGCAGCAGGCTGCCAGCGAGTGCATCAATATTATTTGATGCTTCCCTGATAGCTTAGGTGAAATGATCTGATCACCCCAAGCAAAGCCCCAGCAGCAAATGGCCACATCAGAGGAGCCCCCCTCAGCCTTGGCTCCATGGATCTGTCCCAGCCATGGGGCCAAGAAAGAGGCAGGTATGGGGACACAGCCCGGCTTTCCAGAAGGTTCAAGGGCTATGGTGGTGATGGGGAGGGCTGTGATGTGTCAAGTCAGGTTCTCTCCATCCTGTTCTTCCACCTTGTGTGGAAATCCTATAAATGTAACATGGGAATTGAGTGTAATTTATAACCCTCACGTCCCCAGAGGCAGTGTGGACCAGATGTTTCAAAGCTAGCTGTTGTTTTCACCACTGGTAAAGCACTTCGGGCTCGGTTTTGCCTCCACAAGTGCTGCTGGTTAATTAATTAATGTGACTTGAACACCCAGGTCCTGGAGGGCACCTGCCACGAGGCTGGCGTGGATGCCTAAATGACTCTGAGTGTATTTGCAAAATTGGAGGCAGAAAGCTGCCCAAGCAAGGCTGAGCCGCAGCGGGCCATGTACACAAAACAATACCATGATTCATCTGAGATTGCCATAACCCATCTCATTTCATCAGGATGCTGTGGCATTTAAAATGGCATTTCCTCCCATCTGCTGTGCATTAGCAGACAAAGAAAAAGGAGGAGGGGGGAGAGAACAGCAAAACAAAGCGGGGAGGAAAAAACGGGATTCCTGAGTCAGACTGTTCCTAAAGCAGCTCCTTGTCCTTGCAAAGCCCAAGCCCACCCTGCTGGGCAGAGGGCAGTGAAACTGGCTGTGGACAATTTTGCCTCCAGCTAGGCCTGGCTGCAGCCCAGGATGCGATCCCCAGGCGTAGGGTGAGAGACGATGATCTCGGCGGTGACTCAAAGCCCCGCAGAGTGGCACCTGGCAACCCTCTCTCCACACCCCCAGAGCTGCCAAACCAGCAAACAAATCCCCCCAAGCTAACCACTGGGGTGGCTTTATTTCTCCTTGGTCATTTCCTCTTCTCCATCCTTCCTCAGATTTTCTTTTCTTTCCTTCCTCCCTTCCCTGCCTCATCTTCCCTTGGAAATGAGAACCCATTCTTCTGTCCCCATGTCTCCCTTCACTGCTCCCCCTCTCTTCCTGTGCTCCCACCTCCTCTCTTCACTGTCCCCTAACACCTTTAATTTCCATCTTTTTCTTGCACTCCCCCTGCCCTGACCCATCACCACCTTCTCCCATACTCTCTCCTTCTGCCCAGCCCAGGTGGCATCCTTGGGGCGCTTTCCAGGAGGGAGAGAGCTTGAAGCCCTCTTGGCAGGGCACTCAGAGCAGGGAAATTCAGCTCAGCTTCTGAACTGGGCCATGAAAATCATCCTCCTAAATGTGGCTTGCACTTTCAGCTAATGGTCTGAGTCATGAGACACACTGGAGTTACCTGGTAGGAGTAACAAGGGTCCTGTCCCTGGCCACCCCACCCCGCCCCTTGGCTGGGGGATCCTGCCCTGGAGCTGAGGCAGAAGGAGCAATGTGCCTGCAGCTCACGCTCCGGCTGCTGTTAGCAGCCATGAAATGGGTCAGGCAAGGAGCTACACCAGCTGAGAAACAGGCAGAACACCTTTTCTGTTGTCTCTGCTCCACCACCACGATGTAAAGACAAGGAGCCAGAGACAGAAACTCCCTTGGGCAAACAGCTTGGCATCCCCCAGTATCTGGGCCCCACAGGTGTTATGTACCACCCTGGCATCCCTGTGGATCACAAAGTCCCTCCTTCTGCTACCCCAAACAGACATAAGTAACCCCACATGCACCAAACAAAAAGGTCAGACCACGATGGAAGATGTGTCCCCCGCTGCTACGACGCACTATAGGCCAAAAACATGTGAGTGGAAAAATACATCGAATTGAAGCTTGCAGAGCAGCAAGGTGTCCTTGCAAGCCCAAGGGTCCAGCAGACATGCTTAGAGGCTGTCAGTTCCCATCGGGCACAACGGAGGAAGGACAGTGCTCTCCAGCCTGCAAGCACGCTCCCTGAACCCGGGTTTGGCCCAGACACAAGCAGTCATTCAGAACGGAATAGGTGTGGACAAGTTTGACCCCGAGCAATAACCAAAGAGCATGTGAAAGTGGCAGCGAGCAAAGCTCTCGGCTTGTACAGCTGAGGGCAGGGACAGGGCTGTGCGGTTATTAGCAGACTGAGCTGAGCTGGCTACTCAATTACAGCTGTTTTATCCCCTGTCTGGATTTGAAACAGCTTCCTCCAATCTCTTCGTGACTCAGTGTCTTGGCATGGAGATTGCATACCCAAGAGGTTAGCTTTTGAAATCCACCAGGGACATTTCACCTTCCTAAAATAAAGAGTGGGCAAAATATTTTCAACCTCCCTCCAAAAAATGCACACACACAAAAAATCACTCCTTAATAAGTGTATGTTGTTGGGTCTCAGCTGGCTTTGGGCTGGGGTAGATTTTCCTATTTATAATCATGCAGCTGTTTGCCGACTGAATAGCTCTATTTATTATTTGGCATGTTTACTAACCACCTCAAATACCTTCTCTACCTGTAATTGTGGTGCAGCGTACATATTATTTTTTTTCAGATTTCTTCATTCAAGTGGGTTGTGTTACTCCCAAGCCCCACGCTGCAGTTTGCTAAGGGTATTCATGGTTTGAGGGTATGAAGCTTTGGACTCAAGTGACCCTGAACTGTAGAGGACCTGTGAAGAGAAACTTGGGGGAAAAAATGGAGTAATTTTTTCAAGCCATTTGTCCATGGGCACTCAGGCCTTTAACATACTCTATCTGCCTTTCTTGAGAGCAGTCTCTCCTGAATGTGTTTCCTCCCATCTATGCTCATCTACCTTCTTCCCCTCCAAGCTCCCACAAAGTTGGTCAAAGCCAAACTCTTTATGTTTGCCATAGTATGTGAGTTCTTAGTCATGGGAGAGGAGGCCTTACAACCCAACTGAGCAGAGGCTTGTTGGACTCTTGGTACCCGGACACCAGGGAAAATGAATACACCTGGTTTCCCCAAAGCACAGAGAGAACTGAGAGCTGTGGAAAAGCTGGCCATACACCTCCAACCCAACCCAGCACACTGCTACCATGCCCTGCAGGGCTTTGCTGCCCTGTCCTGCCTGTAACTGAGGTCCATCTGTATTGTGTTCACCCCCTTTGTCTTTCTGATGGCATCTAGGTGATTCACTAATCCGGTTACTTGCCATCCTCCAATCCCTCCTTCGTCAGTGCGTCGCATCGACATCCTTCAGACCAGCCTAAACAATTTAAATCTATTCCAGTTCCCTGCACTACACAGGGCTCCTTTAATGGTTCCAAATCTGTTTGGAGAAGTTCTTTGCCCAGGAGGGATCCTCTGCTTCTTTCTGCCTGAGGCCAGGGCAGCTCCTCTGGTAATCACCAGACTCCTGGTAGAGGTAGGGGTAAGGTCAGAGGAGGTTTGGTATGGTGTTAAGATTTGGGTTTTTTTGATAAAGAAAGCAAACAGAGCAGTTCCTGGACATATAAAACCATTCCAGACCATGTCAAATAGGTCCAAACATTTTCATCAATATATCTGCAGTAGGCAGTGCCCTTTATGGGGGCAAATCTCCACCCAACCTAATTTTCAGAGGCCCATGAAGTCATCTTCTCCAGGTTCTGCCCCCAGATGACTTTGTCCACTCAGCCCTGGTCTGCAGCCTCCCGAGGAAACACCCTTCACCACTCTCTGCCCCGAGATGTTTCACCTGGCTCTTCCTCTCCAGTTAGGAGAACCAGGTCTCCAAACCAGGCCGCCAGCTGATCAGACCTTGCACCTCTGGTCGTCTCATAGCAGTGGCAGTCGCACTGGGATGCCATCACGGGCCAGCCATCCCGTCATGGCGTGTGCCACGGCCACGTTTCCACCAAGCATCAATGACTGTTTGTGCAGGGGGAGTTCAGTCGCAGAAAGGACTAGCCGGGTCTGCGTTTCATTTACAGGAGCTGTAAAACTGCCACCTGGCCAGTGGCTTTAAAGCTTTGGATGATGCTGGTGTCAAAGACGTTTGGTGCAAGAGCCAGCTGGAGCCGAGCCAGTTTTATATTTAATCTTGCCTATAAATACAAATAAAGGGTCTGTATTTTGAGTGAGCAACAGGCGCACCACGGACATTATTAAACCTTCCAAAAATAAACCTCTGCCAAAGTGAAGGGAGCCAGATTTTTCCTGGAAAGTATCAGCACAGGGCGGGGGGAGATGGCAACAGGGCAGCCCCTCTGCCGCACGGCCCCTCTCCAACAGCTGCTCTGTGTCAGGAGCTCCATCCTCCCTGTCACTGTTCGCTTGTTTTAGCCCCTAAAATGCCTGAGCAGCTCCTCGGAGCAGCTTTAACACTACATCAGCCCTGAGGATTCATCCCAGGAGCGCTGTCAGGGTGAGGCCTCTGTCTTCACAGCTGGAAAAGCCAGCGGCCGCGGCTGAAACAGTCACCGCCCTGCCCCCCCGGCGTCGGACAGCGGCCTGTCCTCCTCGCTGCCTCTCCCTTTGCCCCCATCGCGCTCCGAGGAGGGCGTAAGGGCCGCCAGGTCCCAGGCGAGGCGCCGCCATGAGCCGACCCCTCCCCGACACTCCACTTCCCAGAGGGCCGCGCGGCGGAAGCGGATGTGACGTCACGGGCCGCGCAGCTGATAGTCACCTTTGGCT